GAAAGTTGTGGATAAGAGTGCAACAGTGTGCAAGCATTGTGCAACACGTTTTGTTTATGCTAACAGCTACACGACCAACATGTCAGGCTAACAAGCAACACATACCGAACCGAAAACCGCGACCACGAAAGCGTGAACCGAACCGAACTGTGGATTTTGTGAACCGCTCCACCCCTAGTTTGTATATGTTCCTATATATGTGTATATGTAGGTTTTCTTCATCCCACTCCTGTTTTTTTTGTTTGTTGTTTTTTTTTTGTTACTTATAATATGACTCATATGTTTAAATTGAAGAACTGGCATAGACTTAAATGTTTCTTTGCCTGAAATGAATAAAAAAAATTTAAATAAACTTGAGAGTGATGTAGAGATGTTTTTTTGCATAAATATCAGCACAGTTTCTTTCAGGTGGTTTGAATGGGTCGGTTTTTACCGTTAATTAAATCTCATCCAGGTGGAATGAGGAGAAATAGTTCAGGACCGAGCAGTGAACTGTCGGACGCTGAATTCCCCGGGCAACACTTCCAGGGCGACCTGTTGGTCCTGGCCCTTGGCTCTTCCCAGAGGGACCTGTTTGAGAATGATTGGTTAGATGTCATGGTGCGAGTCTACTGGCTGAAAGCTCGCTTCCTGGCTCTGCAGGTAAATTACCTGGTGTTTCTCATGAGTCTTTCTCACACAGTTTACCTGGAGCTGTCATTTGATGCTGCTTTGCTTTTGTCTCTGACAGGGAGATATGGAGTTAGCCCTCGAGAGCTATGATGTATGTATAGGCCTGCTGCAGAGCAAGCCAAAGACGGCTGAGGGGAAACATTATACCATCAACCTGCCAAACCTCAGAGTAGATGCAGCTATCTCTGTGGAGGAGGTCAGTAAAACACTCAGCTGGATTATTTCTCACTGTCTAATCTGCAATAAACAAACCGTGTCTTTTAGGATGATGGATTTAAGGCGTTTAATGGCGTTTTCTCTCATCCTGTCTGCAGATCGACAAGAGGCTGAAGTCGTTGGAGCGCTGTCAGTCTTTAGAGGAGATCCAGCGTCTCTTTGAGGCTGCAGACTTTGAGTCTGTTGTTCGCCTGCTCCAACCCACTCTTAACTATGAAAGCAGGAGCAAAGCTCTGGAGTTTGTGAGCTCCACCCCGGAGCGTCCCGCCCAGCTCAAGTTATTGCAGGTTGGCAGCGCTGTTTCTCCACTGCAGTCTCCTCAGGGAAAGTTTCTGCATAGATTTACAAAGCAGGCGCATCATTCAGCGTCTCTAAAGCCGGGCATACACTGTGCGAATTTTTTTTTTTTAGATTTTTTTTTTTTAGATTTTTTTTTTTAGCCATTGCATGCAGCTACCGCTCACACTGTACGACTAAAAACCACGTCAGATTCGGCTCCACAGTAAGATGGCGCTGCTCGGACTCATCTATCCAGAAGCCAAACAAATAGAAGAGGAATATGAAGCTCACTAGAGTGAAACACGCTGCCTTGGCAATTTATGCACTTTAGTACTGAAAGCCCTAAAAAGAAAAGGCGATAACGTTTGTGAAAAAAAAAGATATGGCTGAGCAAACATGGCTGCTACGGTCTAACAATTTTACAGACAGAACTGCATTTCACTCATTTCACCCCTGCCATGCTGCTGTGTTTACAGAACAATCCTTGTTTGCGCTTGTCCACAGCGATTAGCCCACGACAGTCGGGAAAAAATCAAGCATGTTTGATTTTCTCCCGACCTCACGATTCCTGATCGGGAGGTGGTC